ATACAAACATGTAATTAGTATTTATCACATAATTTAAAAAGATAAGATTTTAAAATGTGTTGATTACATGAATTGAATATACAGTATCTCACAAAAACTACAGTATAGTGTTTAATAGAGATAAGTTATATCTTAAAATGATATAATAATAAAATTAATTCGAGAATTTGCTTAACGTTTATTAGATACCAATCATTTAAAATTAATAACAAAAAGACACCATTTATTTGGTAGGAAAATGTCAAATGTTTATTTTATTAAAAGTAAAAATAAAAGTATAATTAACTAAAAATTAGTTCAAATAAAAAGTCAAAGTTTCAATCAAATCGTTCATAAGATTAATTGAATTGAATTGCTTTTTAATCTCAATTTAAATGTGTTATAATTAGTGAAAAATAGGAAAATTATTGTTTCAGGGGTTTTGACATTTATATTATATATTTTTGAAATCACTTTGGATTCACGTGTTATTAAAATCATCACTAAATTAATTTATATGAGATTAATGTTTAATGAATTAAATTTTTAACTATTTTATGTAATTTGAAAATGTGAGACACATATGGGTTTGTAATTTACAAATTGGTTTGATTTTTATAACTCAATGAAAGTTGAAATCGAGTACTGAATACAAAAGTGATGTTTGAAAGGGGAATGCAATTGAATGGAAATACCAGTAAATGTTTAACATTTATAGATGTTTTACATAAAATAGATCATTTTTGGATACCATGTTTGAAACGAGTATTGAATTATCAATTATAGATTTTATAATTTTATACATAATTAAATAACTGATTAACACAGTATTGTGTCCCTTAATTACTGTATAAATTCGTGTTTTCCTTTAATTATACATAAACTGAAGGTTTAAAAAAAAACTGCTGAACTCTTATAGCCTATAAATTATAGACTAATTTTTAAAATAAATCTATTAATTCTTAAAAACTATTCAACACAGTATAAAATTTGGTTTAGCACTTAAAATATGGCTTAAATTATATTATTTAAGAATAAATAAATTAATTAATTAATTCGTTCAACGATTTGTTAATTATGTGAAAAGATTTTAAAAATTATATTTCAATTGAATTAAAGAGTTATTATTTAATAAAATTCAAACCAAAATTCGGGTAAAATATAGCAAAAATATTATGTGCACTTCTTATCAATTAAAACATGTAACTTAAATATTGCTTTCAATAAATTTCTCTAATTTTTTTCATTTGTGATTTGACCCCAATTTGTGATGTGATTAAAAATTAATTATTTATATGATTTTAGAGGAAATTAATTCAAAAATAATGTATAATAAAATATATATATAGATTAAAAACACAAACTATAATAAAATTATTTAAAAGTTCACACTAAATAACCAATAGATCTACCATTAAAATGTTCACAAACATACTTTGTATAACATATAACTGAGCTAGATGAATATTTATATGTCATTTTCTCAACATTTTAGAGAACTTTCCCATAAGTTCCTCCCATTATAATCTATGGACAACTTTGAAGCTAACAACACAATTTTTAATATATTGCATATCTATTTTACCCAAATTTATTTATAAATATATTGATAAATTATTATGTTATCAATGACAGTTTAGTGATAAATTTTCCCATGAGTGCAATGTAATATGAACTTTATATTATATAATTATGGTAAACGATTAATAAAAATTGATTTTTCAACAAACAATTAATTTGCAATTTAATTCACTCTAATATGACTTTCTTTGATAGATTTTTTGCTATTTATTTTCGATAGCATTTACACACACTTTAGTATCACATAAAAGCAATTATCATATGCACAGCAGTTGACTGACAATGATTTGGTTTAATGACTTTGGATTACATAATAATTAATGAAACTTAGACTTTGTTTTATTTATTAAATCCAAAAATGTATAAAAAATTAAATTTTCAAGTGAATTGAAATATAAAAATAAAATTATAAATTAAAACTTTTAATTATATTAAATGAGGAAAATTAGAACTTTTATTTTATATTCGATATATTTTACAAAAATAAAATATTTTGTTTATTATTTTTAATTTACATACAAATGTGTTATATATTTATGATATAAAGTATATATATAACATTATATAACATAAAATAGTTATTTTTAATAAAAATATTCTTTAAAATTTTGTTTTAATTTTGTCTTAATTAATAATTTGCCATTATAATCAAAACTAAAAATTTTAATTGGTTGAGAATTTTCAATATACAGTAAGTTCAAACAAGTAAAAGAAATTTTATTATTAATTATAAATTAAATCGTAATTACAACAACTTATTTGAACTTCAATACACATTTGTAAATAGTATTTAAATGATTGTTTTAGTAATTGTTTGGATGTATTCAGAAAGACATGTAATTTAAATATTAATTTGCAATTTTAAATCAAAATCACAATTGAAAATAAATTTCTCACAAAATGAGTTCAATTTCAATGTTGTGTGTATTGAATCACAAAGAGAATGATGTAATTTTGTCATAACATATATAATTTGCATGAATTCATTAAATATATTATCGGCAATAAAAATAAACTACATTTCAAAATGAGAGACAACAGCAGAACATCACAATTATAGACCGTTTATCTGATTATCAATCGGTGTTATAACAGTTGTATTCACTCTTAACATCAAATTTATGAAAGTTATGATTAAGAAAAACCAATCTTTCATTTTTATCGATAATTGTTTTCATTTTTATTTTTCATATGTATTTTGATTATAAATTGAATTTTAAATTAATATTTAGATTTGTAACAAATACATAAATGTCATTTGCAATAAATCACTGTATTATACAAGCCTTTCTGTAATGTTATATAGATTAATATTATACAGAAGATCTATTTCAATTAATTAAATTCTTATAATTACCATGCGTGACAAATGTTTATTTATGTGAAAAATAATATAATTTATAAATTAGTTTTTGAAAAATTCTAATTTATAAATTAGCTAAAATTATGGTTTTAGTATTAATAATTAAAAGTTTTAATTAATTTACATTAACTGCAATAAAAAATATTTGATTTTATCTTTTATGAGATTTTTCTTTAATTAATTTTAAAAATTATCAAATTTTTACAAATAGTTTTCATTTATTAGTTTTCACATAAAATAAATTATAAACATTTACAACAATATACATACTGTATATTGTATTTGTAAAGATGTTTGAAATCAATCACTTTTATTAAGCCATTTGTTATTATAATTGAGAGGCAAATGACACTAATATGTGTTTTACATAATCTTTTAAAATTTTCTTTTATTAATAAAATTTAAAATCCATTTTATGGCAAATCAATACCCATTTACTTAAATCACATTTAAATTAATTAAATAAGTCCTTAATTGAAGAACAAGGGCTTAATTTAATAGACCATGTGGGTTCTAATTGAAAATAAGTATATGAGTACAATGTTAAATACATAGAGCGTATTCAATTTTGTACTAATTGCACTCCGGTGTTACAGAACATCCATTCGTTGAACATTTATTTATTATTAATTAAATGCATTAAAGATAAACTCAGTTATAGTCGTGGAGATTATTTTGGCTAAAATTAACATTAAAATAAAAATAAAACATTTATTCATTGAAAAAACAGATTACTTTTATTATTTATTTGGCATTAAATAAATAACTGGTTATGAAATAAAGTCTTTATTTAGAAATTAGTTTGAAATTAGTTTGAATTTAGAAATGAAAGACTTGTTTTGTATTTTTCAAACAAAATCCAATTCTGAAATCAATTGATTTATGAATTAACTGTGTTTAACAAAATGCTTAAAATATCAGTCATTTTAAATAACTTAAACATTTTAGTTATCTGTCGTATAAATAAATCGACTCTTAATTGTAAGTTTTATTAAATTTAATATATATTTAAAATGAGTGCTAATTGTGTGAATTGAGCGCTAAATAATCCTTAATAATCAATAATTAAATAATATATTTTATTATAATTAAACAAGATGGAAATAAAATTCACGGGTCTACGTGTGTTAATAACCGGTGCTTGTGGTGGTATGACCATGCTTTTAATTTTTTGTTTGTTTCTTGTTAATTGTTATTCTAGTTTAATAAAACTAATAGTTATTTTAATGTATTATTTAATGTATAAATGAAGGCATTGGAAGTGCATTAGTTCACAAACTTATTAGTTGTGAGGCGTTTGTCATAGCGTTGGACTGTAGGGCCGATCAGCTCAGGCTATTGAACGACAGCGTAAGTCTTTGATGAAGTTATTTATTTTGTATTAACACATTTAATCAAACCAATGACACAATTGTTATAATTATTTCATTAATATAATTGTTTTAGTAATAAATATACAGTGAATTTACTAATTTATTTTCCATCAATCAATTAAATTTTCTCATTATTTAATAAGTTTGATAAAAAATTACATTTATTTATATCGATACATGATGTATATAAAAAAATTTACCGAACGTTTAATTAAGTAGTTTATCATATTTTGTGATAGAATTGATTAAAATCTAATTTTCTATCTAATTTACCATACAGGTATGATAAATATTATCTCAAAATTATTATTAACAAGTAATTAATAACTGACCAAAGATTAGATATATGACCAGAAAGACAATACTGAAGATTATTTTGTTTAATTCATTTATTAAAACAAATCCTTTTATCAAATGAGAGATTAAATTAATGTTTTGGGGAAACTTTTTGTGTCTTTTAAAAAATGCATAGATTATTATTTTATAATTAAAATCACGTAATGTTTTTAAGTAATAAAAATAAATTTATATTTTTTGATGAAAAACAAAATTAAGTTCATTTTTCCACTGAATTCGTTCACCAAATTGAGAGCCAATATATAATTGTTTTTTGGTAAAACATTTTCACGAATAGTTGTGTTGAATAAGTCGGACACACATTACATAAATTTATTATATATTTTTAATTTGAAACAAAACTAAAATTAATGATAGTTTAGGGGAAATATTGAGACCATTTGTGTCGATCTAAACGACTGGAATGCCGTCCAAACGGCACTGGAAAGCGTGGGTCCAATAGATCTGGTGGTGAATAACGCGGGAATGTGTCTCTTAGAAGCCATCGGTTCCATCACTGAAGAATCCGTTGACAAACAGTTATCTTTGAACGTAAAGGCAGTGATAAATGTATCGCAAACTGTGGCTAAACAGTGGATCCGAGACAAGAGAAAGGGTGCGATCGTTAACATATCGAGTCAGTCCAGTATGAGAGCCCTCAGAGAACATCTGGTGTACTGCGGGTCTAAGGGGGCGGTCGACCAAATCACCAGGGTGCTCGCCCTTGAACTCGCACAACATAACATTCGGGTCAATTCAGTCAACCCGACGGTCGTTTGGACTGATCTCGGTTTGAATTTTATATTTTATAAAATATAGTTTTGTTAAATGATTGGTTTTTATTTTGTTTTGTTTTAACCAAATACAGTCGTTATATACCTAAAGGGAAGATACAAAAGGTTATATTATAACTCGTTATGATTTACAACTTGTTAACTGATGAGAATTAGCCTCTGTTGTACACCTATTAATTAAAATGCAATTACCATTTATACGGCTCTCCAATCAAATAATAAGTTTAAAATAATTTAGAGAAATTCATGATTTATATTTTATGATTAATAAGTTTCTTGCTTTTTAAATGGAAAAAACAAATAATATAACAATAATTTAAATGATTTATAAGTTATAACACTTCTATAAATTTGTAAAAATATATTGAGAGTATTTAAAATGCAAATATAATTATTGATATAATCATTTATATAATTATTTGATATAATTATTTATATTAATAACGATAAATAGTTTTAGTTTATTTATTTCTAGTCACGTCTTTATTTATTAGTTTATAAAAAAAAGTTTTCTATTAGCAATTACCATTTGACTTGCTATTAGTCTAGATGAAATTTGAAAAATTAATTTTGATTTAATCAATATTTTGTCATTAATTCAGGGCTAAGAAAGGGTTTACGACTTCTTTCTTGTGTCAGATTTGATTGTTGTCTCTTTGCTATACATTTATGGTATAAATATAAGAAAAACAATAATAACGATATCAAACATTTAAAAATAAAAGCGTAAGCGTAAAAAAAGCGTAAAAATTTAATCAAATTAATCAGATTATAAATCATTAAAAAATTTTACAATTGGTGTTTGGCTTAGTTTGGGGTCATATTAACCGAAAGCACATTTGTGTTTAGTATTGAAGTTGTTTTTTATAAGCGATTCACTAAAAAGTAGAATATGTGTGAGTTTTATGACTGAATTTTCCGATTTTTATTCAATATTTATTTGGAAAATCTATTAGAAATACTAATTTTGTAAACAAAATGAAAATTATTTAAAATAATTGAATATTTGAAAGGAAAAGTAACGCTTAAAAAACACTATTGAAAACATATTCACACATAAAAATTATATTGAGGTTAATATTAATGTAATCAAGAAATGAGTCTTTGATTTATAGCCATAGATTTGATGAGTGAATAGCGTTTCGTTTGGATCACACTTTCATAAACATATTGAATAAATTGTCACAACTTTACGAAAAAGTTAATTATTTCATATTTATTCCTCTCATGATTACTATAGGTTTTGCCCAATATTTGCAAAATTAATTTAAAAACAAAACATATTTTATCTAATATTTTAAGTAAAACTTAGATTATTTGATTCCAAATTATTTATAAATTTTAATAATATTTATTTTTCTTTAAAAACACATTATTAAAGTGGTTTAAAGCTTAAAGGTGTAAAATGTCACGTATATTATGCTAAAACATAATTGAAATTTTTATATATAAATTATACAATACTCCAAATATTAACACAATTTGGTTTTCAGTGAGAATTAAAGTAAATATTTTTTAATGAGACAAAGATAGAGACAACTGATAAAAACTACATTATATTATAATTTTGTTGAAAACAGTTTATTTGGTGTTTGTCACAAAAATTCCCTCCTATGCTATGACAAATATTTTTAAACCATATTAATTGAAAACAGAATTGCTAACAATCTGTAAGATTTAACACTACATTACATGTCAATTACTTATTAATTACAAATTACATGTATGTTTTAATTGTACTGTAAACTGAAACGTTCAATTATTGTCGCTCTTATTACTTATTACTTTATGATAACCAAACTATTTGTTGTATAATTAACAGCAAAGATAGTGTGGGCGGACCCTATAGTGTCGGGCGCTATGAAGTCAAGGATACCTTTGGGACGATTTGCCGAACCGGAGGAAGTGGCGGATGCGGTGACCTTTCTATTGAGCGATAGGGCGGCTATGATTACAGGCGTTACTCTTCCCGTCGACGGAGGCTTTCTCGCCACTTAATTACTTAATTACACTTATTTTGTTTAAGGTTAATTTATTAATTAAATTAAAAATACAAATTGTTGTAAAGATTAGCATTTATATATGCATTTAATGGTAAATATCAAGATGGTAGATAATAATGAAATATTACATTACGAAATATAATGTTAGTCTATTTGATATATTGAATACAATATATTGTATTAGTTTAATGAATGAACAGAAAATTAATAGATGTTTAGTTTAAATAATTTTTTAAAACAAATTTTTACTAGAAATAAATGGTCAAGTTATATATTAATTAGTGAGTTGTATTCAATCCCAACGCGAAAGTATGTCAAACATACTGCACAAGAAGTAATCGGTTGTGATCTCAGCAGTGATTCTTCGTATTTTTCTGGGAACCAAAACCTGATCACCTTTTTTGACCAACAGCTCAACGAGTCTTTCCTTTTCACTCATATAAGTTTCAGCTCCGGTAGCGATGACCAGACATATGTCCGACTCCTCAATCAAAGCGCATCTATCGATAACTTTCAACAAAACAATGTCTCGATTGGGTTTCATATGAGAAATCAGTAGTTTCTCGAGGACTTGGTTTGACATAAAAGATTGCGGTGACATAAATGCCATATTGGATCTGATTTAACACAAACTCTTACGACTAATGTTTAATACTTTTATTATTAACGAAGGACTCGATTCAATGGTTAGAATGATATTAGTTTACGTATAAAATAAGCATTTATGCGCTTTTATTCATTTTGGTGTTAAACCAAACAATTTAAACGAGTTTTTATTTATTTTAAGGGAAAATATTTTATGCTTTATTTACTCAACATTCATAAACTATTGATTAAAATACATAAAAAGTTAGTAATAAAAATGCAAATTTGGTAAATTGTATAGAATTTGAAACAATATTATATAAATTGTATAACAGATTCAATCAAATAATTCAAAGTAATAATTAAAGCAATATTAATAAAATGGTTAATTATATGAAATTGTTGAACAAAGGTTTGCCATTACTTCCAGAAACTCATGACATCAAACATAGAGACGAGAAAGTAATTGGTAGTGATCTCAGCGGTAATGCGTCTGATCTTTCGGGGGACCAAAACTCGATCGCCTTTATTGATGTTCACTTCCACCAAATATCCGTATTTATTCTTATAAGTCGGTTCCCCGACAGCCATCACCAAACAGACGTCCATCTCTTCTATCAGACAATCCCTGTCCACCACTTTCACTAAAATTATGTCACGAATCGGTTTGCAGTGAATGAACAACTCCTGCTCCAGAGTTTTCAAATCCATTTTCATGACATGCAAATCCATGTTTCGGTCACTTTTACTATCGATTAGAAAAATACCAAAATTATACACAATTTGCCGCAAATTCCTCTCAAAACCTGCGGTTCTTTAAAATGCAAACTATTTTTTCAAAGAGTAATCAAACTTTGAATTGTTTTTTAAAATCAAGCATTAAATGTATGAAACGTACGACTAATTCAAACATCCTCTTTATTTAAGTCACATTTAAGGCTTAAAACAATAAAACAACACATTTTCACTCTTTAGTGTTTACTAAACACCAAAAGAGTTTAATAAAAAGCAAACAATCGGCTATTGATATAACTATTTTGGCAATCAATTAATAGAGTAACAAATATATCATTTCCTTTTAAAATAATTTATTTTAAAAATACAATACAAACAGAAATTAACTTTTAAAGTTCGTTCACAACATTTTCAATGGACGGATATATTATGAATGAATAATAATCACAATTAAATTGAGAGTAAAAATCATAATTACATGACAAACAGAATAATATAATTTAGTGTCAAATTAAATAATTAAATGAATTAACAAATCATTTGAGATTACGAATAACACACAGATTTAGTACCAATTGGTGTACAAATGACTATAATTTGAGTAATAATTGAATATTTTCTAAACAATTCTAATAATTATCACAATTTTTATTTTAATTATCAAATATTTGATTCCTCTTAACATTTTAAGTATAATTTCAAAATATTTACAATAATATCATTTTTGACGCACAGAATAGTAAGAGATTTAATTGGGAGATATGAGAAGACATTGCTTGTGATGACCGGACAACCAGTCCTTCTTCTGGCACTCATCGCCGCAATAATATCTGAGACAACAGTAAAACTTTGCCAACTCTAAGAATAGTAAGAGATTTAATTGGGAGATATGAGAAGACATTGCTTGTGATGACCGGACAACCAGTCCTTCTTCTGGCACTCATCGCCGCAATAATATCTGAGACAACAGTAAAACTTTGCCAACTCTTTGCAAACCACACTGGTCAAGAACGGAAACCAAAGCAGGTGAAGAACTCGGCAGACATGAGACCAGAGCTGGTGGTCAAAGAAGTCGCGAAATTAGACAACAAACAATATCATTAGTTACTCATAATCAAAGAGAAAGTTAACATTCATTGAGATCTCCGGCTCTTTAATTGCCATCAATTCGTTAAACTTTGTCTGAAAACTATGTGAATAGTCCTCAAAGTCTTCGCCAAAATAATTGGCCGACTGTTTGGCATCTGTTTTGCAACGCTTTGAATGCATTTCAGTAGTCATTGAATTCACTGTTAAAAACAAAACAAAAAACCATTAAACAAGTGAATCAATCAAACATTAAACAAAACATACAATTTTGTGGTGATATCTGATTGTGAATCGGCGGCCGATAATTGGTGTCCGCCTTCTCGGGACTATTCATCGGCACTTTGGGATCAGTTGATTGCAGATCAGTATTATTGTTGACAACAACTGGTTGTGAACTTTGAGAGTGTTGTGACTGTTGTTGTGAGGCATCCGTTGTATTATCGCACGTTTGGCTGACATCTGGTGCACCAAAACTAGTATCCATTTCTTCGTCAATCAAATCAATTTCTTGGATCACATGATTGACGTCGGGTTTGTCTACTGAAGGGCTGCCGATGTCTTTGTTTTGGTTTATAGCCATTAGTCGTCCCGAACGACGTTTGTCTTTGGCATCCGACGGCATCTCGACCTCTGGCTTCTCGTCAGTAGTCTTAGAAGGAGTTGTCATTTGAGAGATATTATCGCTTATAATAGCGATATCTCGTGAATCAACCGCTTCTTTGTTAATACTGTCGACCATCTTATCACTCGATGTCGACGGCGTCTCCAGAATGCTCTTGGGTTTAGGCTTACGACCTCTTCGGCCTTTCCTCACAACCGTTTCAATGGTTTCGTCAAATGACATGTCAGTCGTATCAGTGATGTCTTCGACCGCTGCAGTCGCCGGTAGATTCATTTTTGCCAACAATTCCTCGTGTTTTCGCAACATTTGCATCGATTTGACTAAATTCTTGTTACTCTCGACAGAACTTCTAATATCGGAATCATTAATACTGAGGATATCCTTCGGTTTGACCTCCATTTTGGTTAAGTGGGCGTCAAAGTAACGGACAAACACTTTATTGCCGGTCTTTTCGATCACTTTTGCCGGATATATGGGAAACGACTTGAGTTTGACGAACACGAGCTCATGCGGCGGATCGCAGGGCCGACAGAACCAGTTCTTGTCGTACGCCTGAAAAACCTTATCGTTAAACATCTCATAGCAATGATAACATCGGCGCAATTCCTCGACTTCGTTGACCAATAAAAATCTTAAATCAGCGAAATTGCTGTATATTTGCGAGAAATTTGTTGCATTAATGTGTAAATTATGCATATATACGAAGAAGTCGTCCTCAAACTTAGCCACACTTTTGTATTCATTTCTTTTGACCGATTCTCTCATTAGCGACAAATCCATTGTTTTGTAAATGAAAGCCGAATTGTTTTTATCCATATTAATGGTCAGATTCTTTAATTTGTCCTTCAATTTGGTGTCGAGAAAGTCGAGCAGAAAACCAATCAATTTGTTCACTTTGTTTTGGTCCACCACTTGGGACCCGATGGGTGTCATCACGTGTCCGTCGGTCTCCCATTCGTTAACACGTTTGCAATACAAACAGTTGTATTTTTCGCAGTCTTCGGCGACANGTTGGCTCCGTTTGTCCACAAGAATATCGCAGTCGAAGCAAAACCAGTCGTGACTCAAATCCAATTCTTCGCGCCGTCGCGAGACATATCTTAAGACATCAAACCATTCAATTAGTACACAAATGGATGGATCAGTTTGGGTGACACACGCTATACCTGATTCTGCCGGTGGTCTCGTCTTTCTTGGGGTAAATGAATCCGTAATTGACGGCGATTTCAAAGCACAAGTCGATGGCCTTCTCTCCGATGTAATCAAACATTTCCGTCACTTTTGTGATCACCACATGTTTGGCGTCCGTCTCGTGCGGCCATTGGTTGATGTCTTTGAGACAATCGTTGACCACAAACATCAGTTTGAAGAGATCGTTGGGTTCGCCCAACACGTGCTCAATCTGTGCGCCCAAACCCTTATCGGCGCTCTTAGACCCTGACTTGGCTTTGGATCCGCTCTTTGGCTTTGAGGTAGACATCGCTTCTTCGGCGCTCAAAACAGACACTCAATTGAGGACTGAATAGGAAATG